TTTGAAATCTTTTGTTCAACCCTTTTACTTAATCATTTCTTCCTTTCACTTTAGATACTCTACGTTCAAGAACAAGTTTCAGAGTCTCTTCTGACATCCATTTTGGTCTTTTCTTTCTTTCCTTTCTTCCTAATGACGTTTTGCTTTCTTTCTTTCTTTCTTTTTAATTGTTGTAATTAAATGAAGTTTACATTTCAAGTTAGTCTCCCATACATAAATTTTTTTTTACATACATTGTTATGTGACCCCAACTCCTCACCCCATTCTGCGACAGCACACTCCTCCCCTCTGCCCCTGATTCCTCAAGAACATTCAACCAGCTCCTAACTCTCTCTGCCTTCCCATCTCACCTCTGGACAGAAGCCGCCCCTTTGGTCTCTTGTATCTAATTGACTAAGAGGCACATTCTTCAAGAGTATCACTTTATGTCCCACAGTCCAGTCCAATCCCTGTCTGAAGAGTTAGCCTCAGAAATTGTTTTAGTTCTGGGGTGATAGAGAGTCCAGGGGCCATGCTTTCCGGGGCACCTCCAGTCTCAGTCAGACCATTAAGTCTGGTCTTCTTACTAGAATTTGAGTTCTGCATCCCATCGTTCTACTGCTCCATCAGGGACCCTCTGTTGTGTTCCCTGTCAGGACGTTCATTGGTGGTGGCCGGGCTCCATCTAGTTTTTCTGGTCTCAGGCTGATGAAGTCTCTGGTTTATGTGGCCCATTCTGTCTCTTGGGCTGGTACTTTCCTTGTGTCTTTGGTGTTCTTCGTTCTCTTTTACTCCAAGTGGTTGGGACCAATTGATGCATCTTAGATGGCCGCTTGCAAGCTTTTAAGACACCACTCACCAAAGTAGGATGCAGAACATTTTCTTAACAAGCTTTGTTATGCCAATTGACATAGATGTCTCCTGAAAGCATGGTCCCCAGATCCCCCATCCCTGCTGCTCTGTCTCTCAAAGTATTTGATTGTATTCAGGAAACTTCTTAGCTTTCATTTAGTCCAGTTGTGCTGGCTTCCCCTGTAATGTGTGCTGTTCTTCCTTTCACCCAAGATGATTCTTATCTACTATCTAGTCAGTGAATAACCCTCACCCTTCCTCTCCACCCCGGTAACCATCAAAGAATGTTTTCTTCTGTGTTTAAAACTTTTCTTGAGTTCTTTTAATAGTGGTCTTATACAGTATTTGTCCTTCTGTGACTGACTAAATTCACTCAGCATAATAAGTTCCGGCTTCCACCATGTTATACAATGTTTCACAGCTTCATCATTTTTCTTTATCGTTGCGTAGTATTCCATTGTGTGGATTACCATAGTTTGTTTATCCATTCATCCTTTGATGGGCACCTAGGTTGCTTCCGTCTTTTTGCTATTGTGAACAGTGCTGTGATGAACATGGGTGTGCATATATCTATTCGTGTGATGGCTCTTATTTCTCTAGGATATTTTCCAAGGAGCAGGATAGCTGGATGGTATGGTACTTCTATTTCTAGCTTTTTAAGGAAGTGCCAAATTGATTTCCAAAGTGGTTGAACATTTTACATTCCCACCAACAGTGTGTAGGTGTTCCAGTCTCTCCACAACCTCTCCAGCATTTGTTATTTTGTGTTTTTTGGATTAGTGCTAGTCTTATTGGGGTGAGATGACATCTCATTGTTGTTTTGATCTGCATTTCTCTAATGGCTAATGATCGTGAGCATTTCTTCACGTGTCTGTTAGCTCTCTGAATATCTTCTTTGGTGAAGAGCCTGTTCATATCCTTTGCCCATTTTTTAATTTGGTTATTGGTATTTTAGTTGTTGAGGTTTTGCAGTATCTCATAGATTTTAGAGATTAGACGCTGATCGGATTTGTTGTAGCCAAAATTTTTTTCCCAGTCTGTAGGTTGTCTTTTTACTCTTTTGGTGAATTCTTTTGATGAGCATAAGTGTTTGATTTTTTAGGAGCTCCCATTTATCCTGTCTCTCTTCTGGTACTTGTGCATTGTTACTTATGGTTCATATTGTGTTTATGCCATGTATTAGGGCTCCTAGCATTGTCCTTATTTTTTCTTCCATGATCTTTATCGTTTTTGATTTTATGTTTAAGTCTTTGATCCATTTTGAGTTAGTTTTTGTACATGGTGTGAGACATAGGTCTTGTTTCAGATTTTTGCATATAGATATCCAATTATTCCAGCACCATTTGTTAAAGAGACTGTCTTTTCCCCAACTAATGGACTTAGGGCCTTTGTCAAATATTAGCTGCTCATAGGTGGATAAGCTTGTATCTGGATTCTCAACTCTGTTCCATTGGTCTATGTATCTGTTGTTGTACCAGTATCTATAATGAGCTGGGGACTTTTTTAGGTTCTTGCTTATACCAAAGGAAGAAGAACAAGCCACTGTCTGAATAAGTACAATTGATAACTGAGCTGCTTCCCTCCAGGACACTCAGAGTAGAAGGACACTATTCCACATTCTCTCCCCAGCATACCGCTATGCAAGAAGAGAAAGTTTAAGAGAGGAGAAGGTGCGTCAGGTCATTACACTCTTTAATTTTTCCTTTTCTATAGTAACTACAGGAAATTCGAATAAAGCCAGTCCCCTCCTAGGACTTCTAATGAATATCCACTCATACACTGTGTTTCCCAAAAAGCCTCAACTCACATTTCAGCTGTAGCCACAAGAACATGAACAAAGCTTGAATGGATGTTTTCATTGTTCCCCCCAACTAGGATCAACTGTAGATCTGCAATCTTCAGCCAGGAGACCCACTTCTATTATCAGGTTGTTCTTTCTTTTCTCTATCACAGTGGTTTTTCACGTTGTCTACCCAGCCAATGAGAAAAAGGCTCTGTGTCTGCTGTGAGTCTATGCATTCAGAATCCACTAAAATGAGCCTTCAGCAGAGGTGTACTACCATCTTGCAGTCACATCCCCAACTACTGAACCAGCCGGTTAAATACGTTTCTCTTATCCTCTACTAAGAGAGACTCAGATGCATAGAAACAACAATAGGTCAAGCAAATTAGGTCTTAGATCAAAGACTAAATGTACGGTAAAATGTAGAGATCAACAGTTTTATCTTTGCACACTGCTGAGTCGTTGTTAATAGATTCAAAAGAGGTAGATACTGTCAGTGTTTATTCAATGATGGGCTGAATTTGTATGTTTGAAATCAGGAAAGCACCATGGTTCACTCTCCTAAACAAAGGAACAGTAATACCTTCTCTCCTCAACCAAACCTACTATCCTGATTTAGCAGTCACAGGGAAAAAAATGCTTTCTAAAAGGAACATGTAAGCCTAAGATCGGAATGAAGGCCTACATGATATTTCAGATGCATATTATCTTAGACTCTGCTCCTCTTGGTCTGGTCTTGCCTATCGTCTTGGTATTTCCAGAGTGACAGTATCACCTGTCAAAACGTGGAGTCTTCCATCAGCAAAGGTGACTATGCTAAAAAGTAGAAAATCAAATCTCAGTAAGAAGGGGTGCAGAGGGATAATTTCCATGAGTTAATAATATTCCAACCACAGGAAACCATTTGACCCACTGTTGTTGTTATTAGGTACTGTCAAGTTGGTTCCAACTCCTAGTGACGTTAGGTACAACAGAAACACTGCCCAGTGCTGCACCATCCTCACAATTGTTGTTATGCTTGAGCCCATTGTTGCAGCCACTATGTCAATCCATCTCTTTGAGGATCTTCCTTTTTTTCACTGACCTTCTACTTTACCAAGCATGATATCCTCCAGGTCTGTGGTTACAAAAGTTTCTTTTGTAATGGAAACTTTCTGTTCCCTTTCCTAGACCTTGAATAATGTTACAAAACCATGTATAATAGATCCATTCAAAGTGGATAGAAAATCAAAGAATGTTAGTGCTACAGGATGAAAAACTCAATGAGCACTTCCTTATAGCATGCTATTTAGAAATGACCAAAATGGATATTTTGTCAGTGATGAATGTGCACACGTTGTACAAATTTATCAATAAAAATAATTTGCATTTTGTGATTCTGAAGAGTCTTCCACACAGGGTAGTTAAGAGTATAAACTCTACTGTGGGACTTCCTAACTGGGAATCCTGTCCCAGTTCTGCCAACTTGGTAATTATATGACCTCAGAAATGTCATTTATACTCTACAATCCTTAGCTGATTCCTGTGGAAAAGGAGGAGAAAATACCTATTTATGGAGTATTGTCAGTACTTAGGTAAGTAGCGTATGTAATAACTATACCTAACACTCAATACAGTTAAGTATTTTTTATTAGATTTGCTGTGAGTTCCAGGAATGAAAAGGCTTGAATACAAACATAAAAATAAATAAATAAATAAAGACATTACCCATGCTCTCTTCCCTCTTCCTGGAAAACTGAATCATTTGTACTTAATTGAAAAACTGAGCAGTCTTGTTTTATTTGTTATATTTATATATTATACATACATATTTTCCAGCCTTTTTCATCACAGTAATTTTTTTTTCTTTTTTTATATTTTATTGTACTTCAGGTGAAGGCTTACAGAACAAATAGTTTCTCATGAAACAGTAGTACACATGTTGTTTTATGACATTGGTTAA